GAGCAGGGGGTTGGACTAGATGACCTCTTGAGGTCCCTTCCAACCCTGATATTCTATGATTCTATGATTAAGCGGGAACATATTGGTGCTCTGGTGGCCTGAGCCCAGTCTGTAAGTACCTACATGGGAACAAATATTTTATAGTGGGTGCTTCAGTCTAGCAGAGGAAGGTCTAATTCCAGTGTCTGGAAGTCGAAGCTAGACGAATTCAGACTGGAAAGAACGTATACATTTTTAATGGTGAGAGTAATTAATTAGCCATTGGAACAGTTTACCAGGAGCTGTGGATTTTCAATTGCTGGCCATTTTTCAGTCACAATGGGATGTTTTCCTCAAAGCTCTGTTCTGGGAATTATAGTGGGGAAAGGCTCTGACCTGTGTTATTCAGGAGGTCAGACGAGATTAGGGTGACCAGACAGCAAGTGTGAAAAATTGGGACAGAGGTGGGGAGTAACAGGAGCCTATATAAGAAAAAGACCCAAAAATCGGAACTGTCCCTATAAAATAGGGACATCTGGTCACCCTAGATGAGATGGCTGCAGTGGTCCCTTCTGGCCTGGCAGTCAATGAGTCTATTACTCCTGAGGGAATTCTGTGCAAAAAAATTAAAAATTCTGCGCACAATATATTAAAATTCTGCATATTTTTTTATCAAAATAACACAATATGATCACACCAGTTTCAATTATTTTTGGTCATTTATTTCAAAATACCTGTCAGCAAGTATGTCTGTAACAATACAGACACCAAAAAAGATTCAGGAAATGATTTTTGACAAATAGATCCATACTAGGCATTTTTAATTAGATTGATTAGGCGTATTAATACAGAATTCTGAGTAATAATTCATTTAAACTACAACATAGAACCGGATTTCCCGCCCCCCTCAGAAGCAGTGCAAAGGCTGGGGGGAGTCAGGGGTAATGGACTAGCTGAGGGAGAGGGAAGTAATTGCTGGACAGGAGCCTGGGAGCAAACCTAGAGGGTTGTTGGGTGTGGGTGGAAGAAGAATGGAACAGGTTTTTTGGGGGATGGGGATTGTTGTGGAGCCTCCCCCATTCAGATCTGGCTGACCCCTAGCCTCTCCCATTCAGTCAGGCATCTGCCCTGTCCCCATGTGTCCTTGCACCCCCACTCAGCCATGCCCTCCCCCATAGCTGGGCTCCTGACAGGTGCCCAGAGACCTGCAGACCGGGGAGAGAAAGGGGGGCCAAGGACAAGCGGGCAGTTACTTGTGCCAACATGGATGGAGTGTCCTGACCCTGAATGGAGTGTCCTGACAGGCACTTAGGTGGCACAGGAGAGCTGTGCGGCTGTAACGATGCTGCCTTTGGTGGGACACTTCTGAGAGTATCAATTCAGGACAAATTGCTGAGAGCACGGCAGTTACAGCCCCAGGCTGGGGGTCCTTTGCACACCAAGGCAAACCAAACCAGCCAGACAGAGAGGACTTCGGTCTCACCCCACTGGCTAACCACAAGTCACACAAACAATTCCCTTAGACACTCCAGTTTCCAGTATTACCACCAGTGCCACACGTTACGGGGACAAATGGTTATGAAAACCAAGACCCCAGTAAAAGAAAAAGGTTCTCCTGATCCCAAAGGACCAAGCCCCAGACCCAGGTCAATATACAAATCAGATCTTACCCACAAATCACGCTGTTGCCAATCCTTTAGAATCTAAAATCTAAAGGTTTATTCATAAAAGGAAAAAGATAGAGATGAGAGTTAGAATTGGTTAAATGGAATCAATTACATACAGTAATGGCAAAGTTCTTGGTTCATGGCTTGCAGCAGCGATGAAATAAACTGCAGGTTCAAATCAAGTCTCTGGAACATCCGCAGCTGGGATGGGTCCTTAGTCCTTTGTTCAGAGTTTCCGTTTGTAGCAAAGTCCCTCCAGAGGTATGAAGCAGGAATGAAGACAAGATGGATAAGCTGCTGCAGCCTTTTGTAGTCTCTTGTCTTGTGGCCTCTGCTTCCTTTGTTCCAAACACAAGCTCCCCAGCCCATGGCCTGGAAAAACCTCCGAGTTCTATCCATAGGCAGGTCCCTGCCTTGCTGAGTCACAAGGCGTATCTGCTTCTCTCAATGGGTCAGTTGTAGCTGATGGTCCTTAATGGGCCATCAAGCAGGCTAGGCAGAGCTCAAACCAGCTT